GACAACGCCCACCTGGGGATAGGGCCCAAGGACCCGTACTAAGGTCAGTTATCACCTTTTGGAAAAAAAAGACACTTAGGTTCGTCTTACTCAGGGAGGCAAGAGACGGAGTTCATTTATACATGTACTTTATTCTTTAAAAAAGCAGGGTTATGGCACATTTAAGGAGCCCACTGAAAAAAGGGGGGTTGCAGGCTGAGGCTACGGCCGGAGGGAGGATTAACCAGGGAAGTGACGTCCGAAATGAAAAACACCCAGTCACAAACCAAGAAAACGTGATGTGCACACAAGGAAATCTTAGAACGGGGAACACACACACTTCAAGGGACCACCACCACCCGGGAGAGCCACCACCACCGTCAGCCTTCAGCTCTATAGGGGGAACAAGAGACACAATTAAAGAGGGCTCACAATCAAAGAAAAGCAAACAATATTTCAGGACAGAACCAAACAGAAAAATAATCAATTAATAAACTGAAAAATTGAATTTGAATGAACTTCACCAAACAACAAAAGGAAAACTAAAGAGTCTCTGGCCAGAGTCTTAAACTCCAACAGAACCACAATATCAGTTGAAACACAAATAGAGGACTCAAATTAGGAAATTTACCCTCCCAAAAGGGAAAACTAAATAATGCAATAAAACTCCCAACAGAACCAAATAGCCCAAAACAAATAAGCAACAAACTAGAAAATAACCCTCAAAAATGCTACGTTAATCAAATAAATAAAAAATAAAATAAATAACAAACTAACAAACAAACCTACCCACACCATGACAGGATTACCTAACAGACGCACACGCACAGTCCGTGACTGATAGGCTTGAGCAGCTCGTAGCACGCCCAGGAGCAACAGCCACAGAACACACGCACAACGCACAGCAGCGCGGGAAAACGGTCAAACATGGAAGCAAGTTGGCCGGAGGCAGCCGACAGGACCCAACAGGCCAGCAAGGTAGCTGAAAGCCGCAGAGTAACAAGGTAGCAGGCCGGCGCGAAGCAGCGGTGACAAAGTAGCCGTGGCTAATTAGCCGTATTACTCAAGGCCTCTTATTTAGCTTTAAGTCCGTAGACTTTCCGGTTCTCAGTCCGGTTAATTAGCGTCCCTTCCCAAAGAGGTTGAGAGGTGAGAGGATCTGCAGCAGGAGAAACAGCACCATGCATCATGCGACCGCAGACTGGTTAGGGGGAAGAGGGGAACGGACAAGGGCTTAGCACCTGGCCTAACTGTTATTAACAAAACGGAGTTCACCATGACTTCACCTATGCTCCGGTGGCGGCGCAGGGTAACCAGCCCCAGGGATCGCCTCGGCCAAAACGGACGGACGCCGGCTCTATTAAGATACGTTTTACCGGTGAGTAAAAATGAGCCGCAGACAAAAACAACTACATGCACGCTAAGGTGCGGCCTACCTGTGCGGATGAGTGTGAGCGGCAAACGCAACGACCCGGAAGCGGAAGGGCCGAAGAGGCAGGAAGCGAGGGAAAAAGGGGGGCAGGAGAGGGAACAGCCTTACTTTTATCCCTTCGCATGAACCATGATTTGGCTGATAAGCCAGGGATGAACAGTGAAGCGACCTCCGCGTTGGATACAGGTACAAGTGCCTCGTACCACTACATTATTATTAAGTATTATTATTGCTACAGTTACTGTTGTTACTGTTTGGGTCGCTCTCGCTGGTCCCCCAATCGTTGCTGCTGTCATCGTCTTTTTCATGATCGTCATCGGTCACTACTATTAATGTAGTGTTGCTACGTTGTTGCTGTACATCTGTCTGTCTCTCTCTGTTCTTCCTCTCTCTTTCCCCCAAGCGGTTCAAGGCAGCATGACCACCCACCTAGAGCCGAAGGGTCTGTCCTAGTTTCTGCCTGGTTAAAAGGGCAGTTTTTCCTTGCCCTCGTCGCCCAAATTGTTTGCTCATGGTGTATCGTTGGCTCTGTAAAATGTTAAAGGAGTTTCCGTTAACCTGCCTCTATTTGAAAAGTGTCCTGAGATAACTGTTGTTTATGAAATTGCGCTATAACAATAAAATCCTGAAATATTAAACAAATTCCTGAATATCGACAACGGTCTGTACTCTACACACTATTATTCAGCAGCGGATGTCACAGTAAGCTGAATAATACTTACTCCCAAAAAATTTGCTGCCGCTTTGAATCTCTCACCTTCAGTGGCCCAACTACCACAATGCCATTTTGTACACACTGAGGATATTCCTCCATTGAAGAATACTCAGTTCTCAAAATACCACCATTGGCTTTCAAATGCTTAACTACAGCAAGTCTAATTTTCCTGTGATACTTCTGTGTACCACACACACAGCCTGACTAACTGCTCTAAAGAAACAGTTACCATCACCAACTATTTTCTCCTTCAGACAAGGAGCACCCAACAGACCAACTTGTGTAGAAACTAAATCTACTTTCTGAGTCAACATTTAACTGTTTGCACAAAGTTTCTACAACTTAAACTGGAGTCCTTTACTCGTAACGTCACCTACAAAAACATCTGAATTAACTGCAGCAAAATCGCTGTTTAACTTCTTTGATGAAGATACACTCCTTGAAATTTTACGCTTAATACTTGTCTAACTGTTGGTGCAGCCAACTGTTGGCTGAACAGGTAAACTACAACCCAACTGACTTCCCCTGCTTTCTACTACTACCTTTGGACTGGATAAATTACTGGCTCTAACTGGACTTCTGGATTACACAAACACGAGAAATCTTAAAGTTTTAATGCTGTTGCAAATTTGCAGATGTGATCAAATGCATCATCTAGGCAAGTGAAATACACAACACTCTTCCTTTTCCCATTCACCATCCCATCCACACTGCACGCATGCGAGTCAACCACAGCAAAACGGCTACCTTGACTAATGATTGTGCATGCATTTTCACACAATGTCAGAAAATTTCATATTTAATAAACACATTTTCTAATCCAGTTGTAAGACTGGTGTATACGCCAGCATCAATCAGATCACCTGCCACTACATCAGTATTTCCAGAAACAAAATCCCCATACTCAACGTCAAATGTCTGTCCATCAATAACAGACTATTGGGGCAAGTCTGGAACACAAAGTAGTTCAGAATCCTCACTGGTCACATTTTGTCCTGCAACACATTGTAAAGTGTATCACCTAAAACAACCTTTTAATGTAGTGTTTTGTTTGTGATGCATTATTCATAGAACTTATATAATACAACTATACTCAACTCGTGTTCTCACTACATTTAAAACGGTGTCCTTAAAGAGCAGCGATTGATTCAGATGCCACAAAATGAATTAAAAAAAAGAAAAGAGTTGTGTGTTTTAATTAAAAAGAACTTGTTAAGTTTTTTTAAATAATGTCTGGGTCATAATCACCGGGTCAATACATTGTTTCTGGTCTGTCTTGTATAAATTATAGTCACTGTATCTGGATTGTAAAGCATTGATACTCACAGGTAGAAACTGACCTGAACTGTTTAGTTATTTTGGAAAGGGAAATGTTTATTTTTTTATTGTGTACTTAAATGTTAATTTTAGTAATTAATAATTAACCTGACATTGCCTGATTTTATTAAATTTTTATTTTATTATTGTCAATATTGGTGGGCAGATCTGACTCCTTTAACNNAAGAAAACACAAGAACCAACAGAAAGCATTGCATAAGTCAACTAGTGCACAAACGAGACACTAATGGTGTCCCCAAAACTAATGTGGAAGTCCCCCTCTACCTAAACTGCCTATCCAAAAACTAAGCTATCTCACTGAACCCTAGTCTTCATGAAGATTAGCGGTGGGCTATTTAAACACTTAAACCAATAGCCTGGTGAGGCAACCAGCAAGCTGGTTATTCACCTGAAAGCTATGGATGTGTCCCCGAGACAACTGCTCTGACCGCACACCACACAGAAAATAACAAACTAAAAAAATAAATCAACAAGCCCAAATGGACCATGTTGCTAATACCTGAACAGGGAAACTCCACAGAAGCCAAAACATACCACACTAGAGGACCAAACAATCACTTCTGCTAGCTCCTAACTGCCTACTAATGGCAACACCTGCTAACTGCAGGACCAAACTCCCCCTGACTGAAACATAAAATCAACCAAATCTTAACCAAATATGCATCTCCCCAAACAAAGACTGTGCCAAATTTAACATACGGCTCAGCCAAAACCAATGCACTTGCAAACAAATATCAATCAGCGTACCAAATAATGGCCACAAACAAATCAAATTTGAACCGACGAGCCCCCACTTGTCACAAACCGGGCCATACAGCCATGATAAAAGCCAATTAACAAATTATTTATTGAGGAAACATTACTTAAACTAAACTAACAGTAGTATGTGAAATCAGTAGGCTCAGTGGAGTAAGTGAGTGAGTGCATGAGTGGAGAAGTGTGTGAGTACTGTGTTGTAATAAGATGCAGCAACACAATCAACAGTTATGTTGTCTCAGGGAAAAGAGAGAGAGTGACTGAGCTCCCAGAGGGTTTTTTAAACATGGCACACAGGCCTCAGGTGTGTCTAATTTGCTGACGACCCTCTGCCACGCCCACTTAAAGTACCTGCACAAAAAGACAAGACGAGCCACACAACCAGGAACAGGAAGACAGGGTGGAGTGGGTCGTCACGCCTTTCTTGATTGTCTCTGTATTACACTGAAGACCATGAATGCTGCCTTAATTAACAGCACAGTGCACCGCTCTCTCTCTTTCATTAAAAGCCTTTGTAGCTCACCCAGCAGTCTCCCTCACTCTCTTGTTGATAGACAATCTAGCTCGCTCTACATTATCTCTCTCTTCAACCAACTTAAAGACATAATAAGCAGCATCCAAACAAGAGAGTATTTCCTTCAGTTCTGTTATTTTATCTGGAAAGTACAACAAATATTTCTTGATATGGAAATGTGATTATTAGGTTTTCACTCACCTAAAAACAGAGATGAGTATAATTCTGTAAGCGGTAACTTCTTCTTCCTAAATGTGTGTTTGCAGAACAACTTAACGTTCACTGGAGCCATTAACGGGGACGTTTACGTGTGGCGGGATCACTACCTGCTGAGGGTGGTAGCGAAGGCTCACACCGGACCAGTCTTCACCATGTACACCACGCTGAGAGACGGACTCATCGTCACCGGCGGGAAGGAGAGGCCGTGAGTGACAGCGGATTGTAGCTCAAGTGAAAATCTGTCAAACAACGGATTCCAAACATCATAACATTAATTACTTTTATCATTGAGCTTAATACACTTCAAATTAATTAGTTTGTCACATTTTGAAAGTCCCTCTGTTTCCCTGTCCTTCTAACTCTAACAATAAAACAATCTAATTTAATCAAATAAAAACCACTGTGTGTACACTGTGTAGGATGTGTACATATGTTGTCATGGGTAAGCTGCGACTGTGCCCCACTCTCCAGTGGCCAAACTGCCACCTCCCTACATAGGTTAACAGTCACCTTTCATCCTTTAAAAAAATATGTAATTTTTATGCTTCCAGTAATGTTTCCTACAAATGAAACTGTCCCAAACTATCACATTTCAACCGTTATAATACCCACAGGAACGTCCTTTGTGACATTAATGCCATAGGCTGGACCGTCTCCGTGCACCCAAGGCTTTGCTGAACGTGTACATAT